TTTTCCCATAATCGAGCAGCCCTAATATTACCCTACAAAAACACTGTAATAAGCAGCCAGTGCATTTTCTGTTATTTGCACTTCCAGGGCCGAGTCAGGGGGCACCAGTCTTAGGAAAGAACTCTAGACTTCCCTCTCCCCAGACACTTCCTCCAGCTCCTCCAGGGAAATCCTGAGGCGTTCCCAGGCTAGCCGAGAGACATAGTCCCTCCTGTGTGTTCCCCGAGGCCTACTCCCGGTGGGACATGCCTGGAACACCTCCCTAGGTAGGCGTCCAGGAAGCATCCAAAACAGATGCTCGAGCCACCTCAGCTGACTTCTCTCAATGTGGAGGAGCAGCAGCTCTACTCTAAGCTCCTCACCCTATCTATAAGGGTGGCCCTGCCACTATGCCAAGGAGACTCATTTCAACCGCTTATATCCGATATCTTATCCTTTCAGTCATCACCTAAAGCTCATGACCATAGGTGGGAGTAGGAACGTAGATTGACCGGTAAATCGAGAGCTTTGCCTTTTGGCTCAGCTCCATCTTTACCACAACGGACCAGTACATAGACCAGTTAAATATTCAACATCAAAAGTCGGCAGAGCAAAGATCAACATCCCATAATGCAACTCACAACCATAAATAAAGGGAAAAAAAACACTTGTGAATAACAAAATACGCAAACTGTTAATTAACCGATATTATTTACAGTGTAGAGCCACATGGACTGCTATTATATGCCGTTTTTTTGGCCTTCTGTTCTGTTTTTGTCTCATTATTATTAATATAAGAGCATTTTTGCAGTCATTTAAGGTTTGAAAGACCAGATATTCGCTGATTCTAATCATTATTAAAACTGAAGCAATGCTTTTAGTGCCAATGTAACACTTTTCAGTGTACATTAAAACACTGGCGTCGTCTGAAAACATCCATATGCTGAAGCAGACACTGAAAAACACATGGACGAGCCAGTAAAGTGCATGACTGAGTGAGAAATCCATGGTCCAATACTCAAAAAGCATTTTCCAGAGATGATGCATTTTTAGCTGGGATGAGTGAGTGAATGAATGTGTGTGTGTGTGTTGAGGAAAACAAACACAGCTGATCCCAGAGGCTGGAAGTCTGATCTTCTGTTAGGTGTGAAACTAACTGAAATGCATTGATGTAACAGGATGTAGTGTTAAAGGAAGAATTCATCTGAAACCAATACAAAAGTGTCATCATTTATTGATCCTCATGTTTTTTGTGCATTTATTTTATGGCAGAGCGGAAGATTTTCAGTGAATAACTACTTATTTGTCCTGAAATAGATCATATGACACTGGAAGATCTGAAACATGGTGCTACTTTGAGCATTTACAGTGTGTATAAATATATTTACATAATTCGTTATGTAACAAACAAAAAATAAATATTCTAAAATGCACATATTTTGTTTATTTCTAATATATTCTTAAATGATAATTATAATAATGCATTATATTTAAAATACTGCATTTATATAGAATTTTTTTTTTTTCATTTCATTCATTTTCCGACAACTTGGTCTCTATTTCAGAGGTTGCCACAGTGGAATGAACCACCAACTTATTCAGCAAGTTTTTACGCAGCGGATGCCCTTCCAGCCGCAACCCATCTCTGGCAGATGAGATGAGAACATTCACACATACACACACACACTCATACACTATGGACAATTTGGCCTACCCAATTCACCTGTACCGCATGTCTTTGCACTGTGGGGGAAACCGGAGTACCTGGAGGAAACCCACGCGAACGCAGGGAGAACATGCAAACTCCACACAGAAACGCCAACTGAGCCGAGGATCGAACCAGCGACCTTCTTGCTGTGAGGCGAACATGCTACCCACTGCGCCTCCTTGCTACCATTC